CCCCACACACACACACGACCCCCCAAAACACCCTTTGCATATGTGCGAAATCCACCTCATATTATTCGCCGTGGCGTCAGTTGTCTAATAGTCAGACTCTCAAGATCTCGAACGTAAGATCATGGGTTTGAATCCTGTCAGGGACCCTGCTTTGTGTCTTTAGAAAAATAATTGTACACAAATTGTCCTCACTTCACCTAGTGGGTATGGGTACCTAGCTGTATATAAACAGCGAAAGATCTTACAAGTTTGTTAGTGTTTTCGCATTTTTAATCCGCAGTTTGATAGCTTTGCCTGGGCGGTAGACATAGAAAATGTAGATTACCCAAGCACAACTTTCCTCCCTTTAGATCTTGACTTCCTTGACATGATCCATAATAGAGACGTCCTCAATACTTTTGGAATCAAGGAAAGTGTAGGGGTGTATCTTGCTATCAATTTTACAGGTGTGATATGGGTATTTTTAACCACACCTAGCTTCTAATTAACCTTCTATTGAAGAGAGCGCCGATAGTTCAGGCAGTGCCACACCGAACTATGATGTGGACGACCGCGATTCGAAACCCCGTATGGGGTGTTCTAACACTCCATTTGTTTGGAAACTTTTCAGGGTTCCCCTTCCATTTGATTCGATTCTATCGAAGATAGATGTTAAATTCGGAAGTCACGCCTCTTTAAACGACCTTATTGAGATAAAAGTGACGCAGATCCCATTCATACCAGAATCCTTCACACTGGGGTGTACCCTCGGTGTACGTAAGGGTAGTTAAAGTCCGATAAGAAATTTGCTTTCGGGCACATGGGGTTAATATAGAGCAACAGACAGTTGCAACAACAAACAAACAAAACATACAAACTCTCAAACAAACAAACAAACAAAGCATACAAACTCTCAAACAAACAAACAAGCGTACAGGTGTACAGACTTATAGCCTCATTATATTAGACTTTTGTTCTGTTAAGTTATTTAGTTCCGACAACAAACTGACACATATGTGTCTACACCAGTCGTAAGTACGACAACAGATAAACAAACAGACCTGTGGCCTCAATACAGTAGACATTGGTCCTCTCCAACAATAGGATCGACAATATATAGACAAACAAACAAACAAGCAAACAAACGAACAGACAGACCACCCTTGTCTTTGCCAGTTGCAGGTACGACAACTAACCAACGAACAAACAAACAAATAAACAAACAAACAAACAAACAAACAATCAAACATACAGACATGTGACCTCTCCATTAGTTACGACAATAAACAAACAAACACACGAACATACATACAGACTTTTGTCTTCGCCTGTTGTAGACAGGGCAACCAAACAACAAACAAGATTACATACATGTGTCGTCCCCACAAGTAGGTACAAACAAACAAAAACACGAATATATAAACAGACTTTTGTCTTCGCCTGTTGTAGGTAGGACAACCAACTAACAAACTAACAAGCAAACAAAGGAACCAACAAACAAACAAATAAACAGACGTGTTCTCTCTCCAGTTGTAAAAACTATAAACATACAAACATACAACAGACCTGTAGCGTCGTAATGATAGCCATTGATCCTCCCCAATTGTTGGTCCGACTACAAACAAACAAATCAACAAACAAGCAAACGAACATACCAGAATCATCGTATAACAGACATATATCTGCGCGAGATGTAGGTACGACAACAAACAAACAAACAGTCAGACAGACCTGTATCCTCGTTATAATAGATATGTATCTGCGCGAGATGTAGGTACGACAACAAACAAACAAACAATTATACAAACCTGTAGCCTCATTATAGTAGACATTGATCCGCTCCAGCTGCAGGTCAGAGTCCCCGTGATATGTCCCAGTGGGGTCTATGCCGTGCTCGTCTGACATTACCTCCCAGAACTGTAATGTAAAAAAGTAAAGTAAACAAACAGATAAACAAATCACTCAATCAATCAATCAACCAGTTAGTTGTATCTGTGTTAATGGTGTTCGTTGTTGAATCAAATGTTAGGCCTACATGAAGAAAACCTTGAGACCATCTCAATCTAAATTGACCATCTGCATAAACGAAAAGAGCCGTCCACATACAATCAATCAATCAATCAATCAATCCAGCATATTTTACGTTCCCGTTGACAAAATGTAGCTCAACTAGGAAGCGTGGCACCTCGACCCTGCCTATGAGAGATTAACCTGTCCTGGCAGATAGATGGAGAAACTTGATTTTTAAAAAGACTTTCCCAAGGGGGAATCGAACTCACATCTTCCGCTTGCGACGACGAAGCGCCTAACCGCTGCACCACAGACGCCGCTATCTATCTGTCTATCTATCTATCTGAGAAACTATCTATCAATCTATCGATCTATCTATCTATCTATCTATCTATCTATCTTTCCATCTATCTAACTTTCGAAGAGTCACATCCCCTCAGCACCCCCCTCCCCCTTCCCGTCCTTCTCTGTCCTTTCTTTTCACTTTCTTTGTGTCTAACTCTCCCTATCTATATTATGTCCTTCCCTCCTTTCCCTCCCTACATACACACGCCGCATACATTAAAATGCTTTCTCTTGTGATCATAGATCATCACACTGTGGACAGCCTCTTAATTAAGTAACCTTACAGAAATGAAAGAGCAGTGAAACTGTTATCATATCAAACCCAAAACGAGTACATAATATAACTCTATCTTCATTGTAGACCTGTGATATTAAAAGTCCATAAACATATCTCCTTCTAGAACCATAAACAAGAACGCATTTATTATTACACATACAAAAACACCATAATATTGAGCGGGTAACCAAGCAATATATTGAAATAATCAGGTCCATGTCGAGGAGAGAGATAAGATGATTTTAGAGTAGGCGTGGGCAAACTTTTCGGAATGACGACTTCTCCGGCTGGGTTATGAACAACAAAGAGTCGCGCCTTTTTAAACTGGACTTGCCAGTGTCTGTGGAGTAGTAGAAGGCTTCACCATCGCACGCAGGAGACCTGAGTTTGATTCCCGAGTGGGGAGATTATTTTTTTAAAGATTTTTACGGCGCTCGCAACTGCATAAGGTTATATGAGCGCTCGGGACACGTTATACATTTTCAGTTGTGGTAGGAATTAATAATTTTGAATTTTGCCCGGGTGGCGGCTGAAGCCTATTCTTATCGATTTTAGGACCACTAAAGGATCTTTAACGTGCTCAACTTGCACACGGGACCTCTGCGATTTATTCGCCTTTTATGGAGTAACGGTCTTCAAGCGGGAAAGTTGTATGACTCAAAGTCCGAGTTGGCCCTGACAGGCTGGGTCGAAACCCGTTTCCTACATTATCTAAACGGTGTTGAAGAGGGTGTAAATACTACTACATTTTTTTATTGCACACAGTAAGCTAGGTAAGCTTACTTTTCTGTTACAATAAAAATACAAAAAAAGAATCGCTGCCCAGGAATACGGGGCTTAAATTTCTATGATATTACAAAAGCTAGTCTCCGCTCACGTGTTCAGATCGACGTGATCACTGTTATGATGATATATTGATGTCTGATCTTCTTTGTTGTTCGTCTGTCTGTTTAATTCACCCAATATTTCTGCGCGCTGCGTTAAACCATGCAGAAGGCCACATTAGGCCAGATGGCAGCACACAACTCTGTTGAGGACCACATATGGCCCGCGGGCCATTGTTTAACAGCCTAGTTTTTTTTAGATAGGTAGAACTTCAACTGTGAAAGTCCCTTTTCATTAAACATATGACTTGGTTAGAGAAAGAATAGAAAGAGGTGTAGATGGAAAGTTCGGGAAGATTGGGTGGGTGTGTGGGGGGAGGGGGTAAACTTAGTGAGATTGATATCTTAGAGCAACGTAAACTGGTTTCTGTTTCAAGACGCAGAATATTGTGCACATGTTGGAATATTTAGCTAACTTTTCAAATTCCCCCTCCCCCTTCCTTTCCTGCCCTCTCGTTTCACTTTCTTTCTTCCCCGTATCAAATTCCCTCTCTCTCTCTCTCTCTTTCTCTCTATCTATCTATCTCTCTCTCGCTCTCTCTCGCTCTCGCTCTCCCTCCTCCTCAACCCCCGATAAATAAATGCAGAAGACAAAGTTATGTAACCCTTACTGACATTCATACTTTTGTGGCTTCCAGTAGTCACGAGTTCTTATTCATTTGCAGATTTGCTTCTTTTGACAGCAGAAACGGGCGCCTATACAAACCGGCACGCGTCGCTCAAAAGACATTAGCAATAATCATGCAAATGTAGGTACTGATGAGATAGGGTTTTCCTGCAGTTTTGAAAGCTTTGGCATAGATCAAACTTCTTGATTCTAACAAGAATTGTCCCGACAAGGAGAGAAACCTGATAGTCAAGAAAAGATCATGCAACTTCCCAAGAAAATAATCGTAATTCGAAGCCTTAGAACATCATTTCAGCCGCTAGTATGTATCCATAGGAAAGATAATATTGACATGATTTTATATAAAATATTTCTTGTTTTCAAGTTATACATCAATGTACCCTTTGCGTTATGCTCCAACACTTTCTTTAAAAGATTTGAGAACATATTATTGGTTTGTTTAAGTCAAATGATTATCAAACAATATTGGTTTTACTATCAGAATCCTTTGCCAGGATACGACAGCGCACGAAAAGAAAGGAAATACGCTAGACCTGTCACTGAATTAGAAAAAATTAAGCCAGGTGGGGAAGAAATGGCGTAGCAGCGTCTTTTGCTGTTGGGATGTGTTGTGTCTAGATTTATATCATTATCTAGGTCTCTTTAAATCTAATAACCGAAACAAACGAGAAGACATAAAATTCTTATCGCCCTTGCGTAAGTAAACCGACATCCAATACAATAATAATATGTGCATCTAGCTATTTGCATGATATGGTATAGCATGGTGTTGGTTCTTCGACCTTACTAACACAACACGGTCATACAAAAGGCAGGATCTCCGAATTGCGATTTCATGTCCGATAGGACGAAGTCAAGCGGATGAAGACCAAAGAAAATTTTCCCAAGAACCCATATAATTAAATAGGTAATTTGCCCAGTTACTTAATTGTTATAGTCTTACGGATCAAATGGTGCTTTTTGTATTCAGACTATTCACAACTTAATTTTTTAGTATAAAAAAACTGTGTGGAATTTGAACGAAAATGTGTTGTTTATAGACATAAATTCGGAAAAGACATAGTTGCCTTCTGATTGTTTTCTATTTTTCTTGCAGTAACGGCAGACCGCAAGAGATATAAGGGGAACGAAGAGGTAAGCGTTCTATGAAGGATTTCACTTTCCATTTCAGTTATGTTGTTGCAGTTTATATACACTGTTAACC